AACCCGCCAGACCCTCGCTCATCCCCGACCCGGAGCCTGGCGAGGGTCGAAGGCTTTTCCTGCCCCTTTCCCTGGAGCTCGGAGACCCCGCCCCCTCCCACCGCCCAGATGTCTCCGGCCGTGGCTCGGGGGCCCTCCCTGAGGGCAGGGGCCGAAGGGTCCAGAGAGAGAAGCCCGCCCTAGGGAGACTTGGGGGCCCCCCAACCTCGTCTTGGGGCTTGGCCCCCGGCGCTGCTTGGAGGGGAGGCCGGCGCCCCCACCCTCGGTGAGTCCGGGAGTGGGGGAGGGATGGGGTCCGGAGGGAAGGCAGGGCTGGAGGAGGGAGGGTCTGCGGGATCGAGCGTGCCCTGGGGTCGCTGGGGGGGGGCTGGGTGGCTGGAGAGGCCTCTGGTGAACCAGTCGGGCCAGGCCTGGCTGGGGGTGGGAGGGAGCCGCGACCAGGGTGCCCCATAGCAGGCTGAGGACTTCTGCTTCTAAGCAGGGGCTCCCCCCTTTCTTTCTAGAGGAGGGGTGTGCCATTAGCCATCTGCCTCCACCACCCCTCTCCACAAAGAAAAAAATTCCTGTGAGGAAGGGTGCAGGCTGGGGAGAGGAGAGAGGCAGCGCACCGGCTGGTGCTGCAGCCTAGGAGGGCTGACGCCAGGCTTGCTCTCTCCGCAGGGGGCTGCCCTCTTCCCATCTGGCTCCCTGCCCAGAGCTGCCAAAGCTGGAGCCCCCTCCGCACCTGGAAGACCCTGGCCACCAGCCCTCTGCAGGTGTCAGTTGCATCCAGAGACCTCTGCTTTTGCAACTGCCTTGGAGTTGCCAGGGGATCGCTGTCCCCCTGCCCAAGGGCATCTCTTACCCGGTCCCTGCAGAGTCATTCTTTGCCTCTGAGTTCAGCTCAGGTGGAGATCAGCTCTGCACACCCACAGGCACCTCGAGGTCCCGGGGAGGCCACTCCTGGGACCCAAGGCCCCTCCCCCCGCTCTCCTGTGTCCTCACCTTGACCCCCTCTGCCATACTCTGTCTCTTTCTGGGTGTCCCATTCCCCTCCCAGAGGCAGAGGAGGCGGGGTGGCAGGGTCCAGGGGCTGGGGGAGGGCCGCCCAGGGCCAGGGTGGGCTGGGGGGCCGTTAAGATGTGGAGCCCTGCCCAGCCGAGGGGGGCTCCGTGGAGGCAGACGCGGCGTGTGCCTGGCTGGGGGGAGCATGGGCAGGCCTGCGGCCACGTGGTAAAGGATGAACATTCGGGGCGCCCCGGACCTCGGGCAGCCCAGTGACAACCCCAGTGGTGGTGGCGAGCGGGAGCGGATTCGACAGCGCATGAAGATGGTCATCGGGCAACTTGAGGGCATCCTGCGGGAGCTCAAGGAGGTGGCCAAAGAGCTGAGGGAGGTGAGTGGGGCAAGTGGGGGCCGGCTGGAGTGTGCAAAGCCTTGTGCACGTGTGTCACCCTGCTGGGTACCTCCTCTGCCCATATCAGCTCTGCTAGAAATTTCACCATGCCCAGGGCCGGTGGCGCCTTGGTGTGGGGTGGAGATGGCTTAGGACCGCAGCTCTGAGGTTGGCATTCAGGGCTGCCAAAGTGGCCAGCAGAGACTGAATCCTACCCCAGCTCCTTAATGGAGGAATGACACTAAGCTGACCCTTGTCCCCACCATCTGCCTCTCAGGCTCTGGTCTGGTCACAAGAGTCATCCCTGGGGGAGTATGGATGGCTCTTCCCAGACAGTGCCTGTGCTTGGGACCCAACCTCAAAGCATTCCACAGAGACCACATGGATGTCAAACCCTTGGTCCTGGGGAAATAATAAAGCCAGCTCTGCCTTCCCTGTACCAGGGTGATATTGGGTCTCGGAATGTCAGAGCTCCTGTATGTCTTGGCCGAGGTAGGAATCTCCTCCAGGGGGCTGCATCTTTGTCCCATAGTTCTGAATGTTTTTGCCAATGCTGGAAAGCCACAGAGAAGTGCTGGGATGTGTGTGTCCCTCTCTGTCGCTCTAAGTGGAGCCTGGTTTAATTACTGCTTCCCATATCGCTGGGGTAATGAGGTACACATGTCCCCAGCCCTGCCCCCTGGGCTGTGTTCGAGTCCAAAATGCATGACCAGCGTTCTGAGCCGCTAGCCTGAATCTGCCTGTGGGGTGCCATTATGCCAGCCAGGTGGGCTTTAGGCAAATTTCAGTTCCTTGTAAACAGGGTCCCTGCAGAGATGGCGGGGGAATGATTGAGCTGGAGTTATGGGCTCTGACTCTCCTGGCCAGCTGTGTGGGAGGAGGGGGCTCCAGGAGGGCTGAGGAGGTTGGATGATGGTGAGACCAGCTCCAGGCTGGCAAAGTGGCATTTCAGCTTGACTTGAGGAACAAGGAGCAGGGGTTGTCTGAAGGGTGCTGCGTTCAGAGTGTGGGGGCTTTAAGAATGTGGACAGGAGCCGAGGTTGGGCAGGGTGGTCCCTCTGCCTGGGGCTGGCCTCCTAGAGCCTGCCAGGAAATCTGGTCTTGGGTGGAAGTGATTGCTGCTTTGGGCAGACAGAAGCTGTGGCGCTCCTGCCCATGAACCGGGCTGGGCTAGGCTGAGCATCTCTGAGCAGTAGAATCTAGAGGTCAGAGGCCAGCTGCCCCTGAGCAGCCCCTCCCACTCCAACCTCATGGACCCAGAGGGCTGCAGTGCCCCCACAACCCATGTTATGTTAGATCGGGGGCATGGGAGCTGCCCAGATCCCAGGCTTGGTCAGGCATGGGATCCACACCCCAGCAGGTCCACCTGGAGGGAGCCAGGATTGGCTGTAAGCCTGGGAGACAGCTTTGCTCCAGCTCCGAGCCTGTTCCCAATCAAGCATTTTCCAGGAACCCACAACCCCTCTCCTCGCATCCAGACTGGAAAGGATCTCACAGGGTAAAGGGACAGGGCTGGTCTGGACTGGAAAGGATCTCACAGGGAGTCCAGACCAGCCCTGTCCCTTTACCTTGGAAGAAATTGAAACCTATAGAGGGCTAGGGGCTTGTCCAAGGTCACACAGCCTCCTGGTGGCAGAACTAAGGCTAGAACTCAGGTTCTAATGCCTATTCCGGGGTTTTGGCTGGTAAGCCCCTGGGTGGTCTCTTGCCATTTTGGCAGGGGCCTTCAAGAGATGATACGTCACTCTTATGATGGGGTGCTATAGCACTAGAACTGATTGCAGAGCTGTTCAATGTCCCCTCCGTCCCTTGTCACACTGACCCACTCTCGTGTCTCCAACAGCAGCGCTCCATGGGCAGCATGGCCCAGAGGCCTCAGCCAGGGCAGAGGGAGGAGTCCCCTTCCCAACACATACTGTAGGCCGTGTGCCTCTACCCAAGACTTTGGCAGGTTGCTACGGCAACCAGAGTCTACCCCGTATGCCACTGCCTGCCCACTGCCAATGGCACCCAGCTTGGGGATGAGGGGTGAGCCTCAGAGCTCCCTCATCCCCTGTAGGGTCTGGACATGGGGTGATGTGCAGAGGGGGGTGTGAGGAAAGAAGGCAGGAAGTCCAGGAAGAAGAGACGCCATAACTGACTTCTTGCGGAGGGGGATTGACCGGGGATGGGGTTACCAAACAGGGTACGAGGCCCTGGTTTGGAGCAAAGGGTTGCAACCTCCCTGTCCCCTGGAACCTGTGACTTTGACTCCTGGTCCTCCAGAGGGATGTAACACTAGGTCGCTTTTCATGGCATTTTCCCATCGGGGGCATGGACAGATGCAAGGTCGAGGGGGTGGCCAACCCTTGTTCCCTCCCTTGGGCGGCACCACAAACGGGTGCTCATCTCGAGCAGAGCACTTGGCTGGGGAGACAGGAGTCACCTTCAGGACATGGGGGGAGCACACGGGATGCTTGGCGAAGAGGCCAGGTCAGCAGAGAGGAAGGGCTCTAAGCTCACTCCCCTCCCCATCCTCCTCCTCCATTGGCTGTTCCCCTTCAGACCCCACTGGTCTCAGCAGACCCTTCCCATCCGCTTGAGCATACAGCCTGAAATTCACCGAAGGATGACAGGCTCTAGAGCCCCAGAGCCTCGGTTTGCTCATCTCTGAAATGGGGATGATGGTGATTCGTACCTCATTATGATCCTACAAGGCCTTGGTGCAGTAGGGGTGCCAGTGCCTACTCACCCTCCCAAACCCCGACTGGCTGTCGCTCCACCAGCAGCTCCCTGGGTGTTAGGAAGCAAGTTCTATCCCATGGGTGGGGAGGGTCGTTTAAAGGTTTAAGTGAAGGGAGGATTGTCAAAGTGTTTTGAAAGCTAAAATGGGCTTACAGAGGGCTAGGATGCTCAACCACTAATTAACCCTCATCTCTGCTGGGATCCCCAGTACTCTAGGAACCTGGGCCAGTCCCAGCGGGCTCTCAAAGTGCCTCAGAATTCTGTAGATCTTAATTTAGAGATGCAGCGCAGTTCCAGGGCTGTGAGCAGATGTCTCGGGTTCAAATTCGAGCTCGTCCCTCTCCCCAGCTGTGTGAACTTAGGAAAGTGACTTTACCTCTCTGTGCTTCTGTTTTCCCAGCTGTCAAAATGGGAATACCACCTGAGATGCCTCCTCTCCTACCCCCATCCCAGGGCTGTGGTCAGAATTAAATGAGATATACATCAAGGGCCTAGCAATGCTGGGCATGAAGCCGGCTCCGTATCTGTTAGATGTGACTGGTGGGTGATTCCAGCACTGGCCACTCCTTAGCGCCACACACGGCCTTGCTTTCTAGTCCCATCAACTTCTTAGCCATGACCAGAGAGGTCAGGTCCAGGTCCTGGCCTCCTGGCTGGGGCCCCTTTGTTTCTTTTGCAGCTGGTGGTCTCACCCCCTGCTGATGAGAAAAGGGCATAGAGAGTGATGGTGGTGGGGCTGAGAAAGGGGTCTCCAATCAGGCGGTGTTTGAACAAAGACCCAACAGGAGTGAGGGTCTCAGTGCCACACTGTCCAGGGACAGAGCGTGCCAGGCAGTGGGCTCAGCCCACGCCAAGGTCTTGAGGAGGAAGTGTGCTTGGCACATCCGGATGGGCAAGGAATTCTGCACAACTGGAGGGAAGGGAACAGGGAAGGTTGAGGAGAGAGCAGGGAGTTGGATTACATCTGTGCAAAGTTGGAGATTGCGTTTGTTCTCAGCAGAATCCTGCATGCTCTCCAGGAATCTCTGAGTCATGTTTCTGGGTGGGACACTGCTCCCCTTCTCTCCTTGTTACCCACCTATCGAGAGCTCCCAAGGGCAGGGTTAAGGGCCCTCGTCCTTGGCCCCTAGATGTCGACCTTACCTTGAGCAGATACTTGGCCTCCTTCTCCTTGGCTTCCCCTCCCCGAAGGTGTTGCTCAACATGGGGGCTCCGTGGTGACCCTGTGTCCCCCCTATAATCAGGGAATCTTGAGTGGATTGGAATTTAAGGGCACAGCCGCCCACTGAGGCACCCCAGGAAGATGGAGGGGCGGGGGCGTGACCTTTCCCCAGCCTAGGATGGCAGTGTTGGGTCCCCCCACTGATTTTCACATGGCATTCTGTTTTCTAGCCACCCAATGGGGCAGCCCCGTAGGCAAGGGGCTGCATACCAAGGTGCCAGGGAAAGCTACTGGCCATGAGATCAACGCAGCCCGGCCAGGGAGCAGCTGGAGCAGGGGAGGCTGGGGACCACGGAGCTGTGCCAAAGTGGGTCAGCTCCATCACCCGCAGCTCAGCAAGAACTGCGTGGATTTTTTTTCTTCTTATTTTTCTACTCGCCTCTCTTTCCTCCTTTTCCCCTTTGCCTTGGCCTCTGCCAGGCAGATTCACCCAAGTTCCCTGGCCAATTAGGCCAAATTGCAGGATGAGAGCCATGAATCACAGTCAGCCCTCTCCCACCTCCCCACCTCCACAGCCCCCCAGGAAGATAATAACGTAATCATAGAATTAAAAAATAATCAGTGGTCATAAATAATGCAGAATCCCCAGTTATGTAACCAACTGCCCGGGGAACTGGGAGGGAGGGAGAGAGGGAGGTATCCGCTTGTCAGGAGAGGTGAGGAAGGGGGCTGCGGGGGGGAGGGGAGGATGCTTGTTCTGGGACTCCCAGGTTGTCAGTCCTGTCTCCAGGACCTTCAGAAACACAGAAAGATTTTCCTTGGCAAGGGGGCTCAGTCAGGGCTGGAGGGAGGGCTGGGGGCAGGCGATACTGGGGGCTCCGGGACCATGAAACTTTCTCGAGAAGGGCCCCCAGCGATTTTCATTAAGCTCTCTGTTTCAGCACATCCATTCATTCAACAGCTGTGTTTGTCGAACGTGCAGATCCCTGCACTGAGCTGGGGGTACAGGGGTGGGGAAACAGACCCAGCCCCGCTCTTCACGGGGCTTCCTGTCTAGTGGGGAGACAGACATCCACCACATTGTAACGTATACGTGCAAAATTGAAGCAGTGAT